TTTTGTTTCGAAGATACAGGGTGAAAACAAAAAATTTAACTTTTTTGTATGTTATCATATCTTACTACTTATGTAAGATTGAAAAAAGGTAAACCCTGTTTATTTTAGATAACTTTACGTACATTTGGTGGAAATGAAAACAGCAAATTTCATTTACTTTTTTTTAACGATGTTGTCAACAAACGATTGAAGAACTGTTACATTACAAACTTCACGCGGATCCTTGAACTTCAATCCTTCATTATAATGCTCTATAAGATCAATTTATACAAAACCGGCTACCTTTTTTTTAAAAATTGATTAACCAAATTTATATTTCAGAGTATGGAACAAAACTATAGAGTATAGACTATAGACATTCATAAGCACATAATACAAATTAAATTCACACTATTCTACTCAACATAATCCGAATTCTTGAGCGACTCTCGAATCCAAATCTCAAATTTTTCAAGTATTTCTGGAGACATTTCCTGTTTCAACTATTCCTTTTCTAATAAATCCTGGCATATTATATATAGTGTCATGGTTGACGGCGTTGTTTAATTTCATTTGATCAAAATCCAGCCACTTCAGCAATTTGGATGTTGTTCATCGGTCACCGTTTGATTGAGAAACTTGTCTACCCTTTGTATTACCTCACCTAAATCCTTTTTCATTTCCTCGTATCTTACAAATAAAATGTTTTCCTGGTGCCTCAAATTCCAAAAGTACAAAACCGATTCGAAGTGGTTATCTGCACAGATAGTGTTAATTGGTTTAAATGCCTATTCAGCATATACCACCATAACACATAAACACCTTGCAATAGTCATCTAGGGAGCAATCGTGTTGTTTCAATATGTTTTTTGTATAATGGTAGCTTGACAAACACACATCCCTTGCATTTCTGGATATGTATATGATCTGCAAGATCATTTCTATTTATAAGTATTAGCGACTTAGTCTATCGTGTCTGAATACCTTCGCCCTTTTCCTCCCTGAAATAAGTTGAGTTGGTAAACATTTTGGTGCTGCGTGCGATTTTATGAAACGAGGACTCTTTAAGTTTTGAACATAATTTAAGGAATTTAGATGACAATTTAGAACTTTGATATGAGCCATCTCCTCAAGAACTCCATCCTTTACATACCCTTGTGATCTGGAAAAAAAGTACTGGCATCTATATTCATCATTATTTTGAACTGTTTACTCTAAGAATGGGAAACGTTCGTCAATAAATGTATTGGCACCCTCATAGTCCAAGTAATTACATTACCAACTAACCACACCAATTCCTGTAACCACGTGGTCCCTATTCTTGTAATTAAGGTAAGAGCACTCTCAAAGCAATGATAACCATACCCGATTTTGCATTCCCAATTAAGAATACGTCATCGTCTCGAACTTCAACATCTCTGAGAAAGTCTAGTGAAGTTTCAAATCTCTGATTGCGACTGATATCTGTGTAGTGTTCTTTTAGTATAACTTCTATTTCTTGCTGAGAAAATAACGAGTTCATGTTGTGAATTCTCTTGAGTCGTGATCAACAAGGTACTATCGTCTTATGTATACTAAAATTAGATTAGTGTCGCTAATTGGTTTAATGAATCACAGCATTGATGTGTGTACTTTTGCTATCAATTGACTACAAATTTCGAAACTTTCCATTCATTTCCAATTTTTGCATAGATAATTTGTAATTATCGGGCATGTACGATAAATAATATTCCGTGAGATTCTTACAGTGCATGTGCAAATGTAAAATATCAGAAATAGAGCTGCCCCAAAAGTTATTGGTGTAACTGGGACGAGGATGGGGTACAAGTATGTCGGAAGTCAAACAGAGCATTTTTGAAGAGTTTTCAAAAAATGTTATTGAAGAATTTGTAAGCCGGTTCGATAATCTTGAAAGGCTATGACAGGCAAAGAAAATATAGTAGAAAGGAGCCACTCTTCGGTGATTGACTGAGTGTGAAGTAGGTACTGATTATAGCCAAAAAGGTACCTGTATATAACAAATATTGGACAGTGACATTAAAGAATTTCCTATATTTTAAATAAGAAAAAGTTCAAAAATTGTAATGATGCTTGGAAAAACTTTCACCTTTGTAGAAATAGGTTTCCATTTTCAATGAAATGCTAAATTTGTGTCTGTTCTCCAATTTTATCTTATTAATTATAAAACATTAAAAGTTGGAATTAACGGGTTCACGTAGGTTTTTCGCATTTTCCACAAGTTGGTCAAAAATTCTTACTTCAAGGACCAAATGAGCGTCCACTGTCCAGCAGATTCGTATTTGCCACACCAAACAAAATAGTGAAATTAGATGTTAGCAAATACGTTCAATCCTGTGCCGCGCCACTGCCAACTAAAATACTAACTCAACAATTCATTCGATTTTATTATATTATTTTATTATGTCCGACTTACGGTGGTATGCACACCTCGAAAGTGCTATCAAAAAGCAGTTTGCGCGAAAAACCTCTGTAGAGTATGCCCACCTTTAGGTAGCGCTCATGAAGCGCTTCGTCTGGTGAACGTTTAAAATGTGACAGGTGCGGCTGGAAAAGTGACAGGTGCGCGGTCGGAAAAAGTAGTCTGGAAACCATATCTTGACTATAATACTATACTTTCTTCAAAGATGGACAGTTTTTTTTAGAAAAATGTACATGTACATGAAAAATGTACATTTTTTTGCCCGTTTTTCTTCTCTTTCCATTGATGCATAATAGTCAAGATATGGTTTCCATTTGAACATTTCGAGTTTTTAACCAAAAACCGATTGTCAACTCTGAACGCTTATTCGTATTATTTTCGAATCACATTTGAAAATCATACCGATAACATTTGATAGCGTGGACTTTTTTGGCTGTCCATTCATGAAAAAGTATTTTGCTAAGTTTTCAGACAACAGTGATATGGCTAATTTACTGAACCTCTGAAACCGTGATAAGATGTCAAATAACTTCGAAACCGTGTCTGTTAGACATAGCATCATATTGACAAAGCCATACTGATTTTTTATGGGGAGTTCAAAAATGCCATCAGAAAACATAGTGCCATCTTATATTATTATTATATAAGAATGTTCCAGTATCGTTCTGATACAACCGGAAAAGCGACCACCTTGAAAATATTTTTAAATAATTCCTTTTGGCCGATTATTCAAAGAGATAATGGATCCCCAATCCGTTCCTGAGATACTTCTAATGGTCCACTTAAAAACACCACCCTGTATAGTGTATAGACATGTGTTAATTTTAAATTAAGTTAAATTTCGCTCTTGTTACGCAGAGTTTGGTGCTGTACAACTTTCTCGAGTAAGGTTTATCATTTGTAGTAAAATAAGTATAGGCGCTGATACGTTTCCATTAGGTATATATGGACTATCATCATCGGTATTTTTTCCATCTTTTATCGTGAAAAGAACACATATTTCGGAGAATTTTTGATATTTCTATATTCAGATTTCAATTCGAGAAAGGGCTACAATCATGGACAGTGTTACCAAACAGTTTCCTACAGTAAAAATGTTTTGAAAGTGTTGCCGTGAATTGCTACTTGGGTTAGCTTAATTCATTTTTTCGCTAGGTTGCTGAAGATTGCTGATCTTTGACGATAGATTTTGGATAATCCTCTGAACCGATTTGAACTTTTAGTAGATCACCTAATGCAAAATTGTATGCTCTTTAATTTTAATGAAAATAAAATTTTATGTGAGATTCTCCGTTTACGAGTTATAAGCGCAAACGTAAAAAAATGCTAAAAATGTCATGGTTTCACAGTTCTCAAAAGTTTAGCACAAGTCAGAGGCCGTCTTAAGACTTATTTGGGTAGCCTATTGTCCATTAAATTCATTTCCAGCTAGTGCATATTTATTTTCCAGAGCGGCTTTTTTTGGGCTGATATTATCCTGGGCTAAATAATTACATATTAATATTATAATATTATTTATTATGTTTATTAGCATTTTGAGTTCTACAAAGGAAACAAGTTGTAAATCAGCATATGCCTGATGAAAGACAATTTTTGGTAATGCAGATCAGTATTTCATTGGCAAAGTTTAAAATTATCGATCAGAAAGCTTTTAGTGAAAATTTCAAGTCTCTAGCAATTGTAGTTACTGAGATCTCAGCCGGACAGCCAGCCAGCCAGCCATAACGAATATAATAGCGTATTTTTTTCAAAAAATGCGCTAAAAATAAATACTCCATACCATGCAATACAATAGTATATGCAATTATGTAACGCAATGCTGTTGGTGATTTGTGATCGTTAATTTTTCTATCAGGGTGGTCACTCCTGCAGAAAAAGAAGTCGAAGATTTGATTTCTTCATATTCTACTTTGGATTATTTTAGATATAGATTATAGAGTTTATACATGTATAGCGACGATGTCAATCAACGTATAAAATGTTGACAGTGGTAATGTCGTGGTGGGCCTCTGTTTTCTTGCCATTTGGTCCACTGTGTCTGCTTCGACCTTGGCCACGACGGAAAGTCGAGCATATAAGCGTCAACTTCGTTGTGTTACGTTAAAAATACTGTAGCGAATTTCCATGAAATATGACATGCTGATTCGAACCTTCCCTAGAACTTTTTGTTTGCTATATAAGCAAATTGAATTGTGTTTAATTTAAGTTCCAACATCGATGCCGAGTTGTGCTGTACATTTACATGTTATAAATTTGAGTACAAGTAAGGGATAAATAATAATTCACTTATAAAACAATCTTACAATACAATACATTACAATACGAAAACCAATAAATAATAAACGTAATCTACAAATGATAGTCTACAAATATGTGTGAATTTGGTGGGTAACTTTGGGTACTTCTTTGGACTTTTAAAGTAATCTTGGAGTACTATATTTGAGTGCTTAATATCAACGCCCCATACGGCAACATAAGATTCATTTTCACAAAGTCGGCTATTTGTTTCAAATCGGTTTATCAAATGTATATTTCAGAGACAATTCTTATGCCCCATATAAAGCGGTCCCAAAAGCAGAAATACATCATGTAATTTATTGGAAAAATATCTACCGTTTATACAAATCAGAACACAAATATAGGCATTCATAAGAACACCATACAAGTGCTAGAAGAAACTATTCACACTCAAAATAATCCGAATCCTTGAGCGACTCCCGAATCCAAATCTTAAACTTTTCAAGTATTTCTGGAGACATTTCCTGTTTATAACCGCCAACTATCCCCTTTCTAATAAATCCCGTCGCCTGATACATAGTTTCATGGTTGACGGCTTTGTTTAGTTTCATTTGATCAATATCCAACCACTTCAGCAATTTTGACTGTTGCTCATCGGTCACGGTTTTATTGAGAAACTTGGCCACCCTTTGTATTACCTCCCCTAAATCATTTTTCATCTCCTCGTATCTTACAAATAAAACGTTTTCCTGGTGCCCCGCATTCCAAAAGTACAAAATCGATTCAAAATGGTTATCTGCAGAAAAGTTGTTAAATGCATTAAATGCCTAGATAGTAAATACAATACAACCATTAGAGATAAACACCTTGCAAAAGTCATCTAGGGAGCAATCGTGTACTTTCACTACGTTTTTGGTATAATAGTAGCTAGACAAACAAACATCCCTTGTATTTCTGGATATGTATATGATCTGTAAGAGAATTTCTATAACTATTAGGGGCTTAGCCTACTGTGTCTGAATACCTTCGCCTTTTTTGTACCGGAAAGAAGTTGAGTTGGTAAACATTTTGGTACTGCGTGCGTCTTTATGAAACGAGGGCTCTTTAAATTTTGAATATAATTTAAAGAATTTAGATGACAATTTTGGATGTCCATATGAGCCGTCACCTCAAGAACTCCCTCCTTTACATACCCTTGTGATCTGAAAAAAACAAGTACCTACTGCTATCGATATTAATAATTATTTTAGATTGTTTACTCTAAGAATGGGAAACGTTTGTCAATAAATGTATTGGCACCCTCGTAGTCCAGATCATTACCAACTAACCACACCAATTCCTGTAACCACGTAGTACCTATACGGATATTAAGGTAAGGACACTTTAAAAGTAATGATAACCATACCCGATTTTGCATTCCCAATTAAGAATACGTCATCGTCTCGAATTTCAACATCTTTGAGAAAGTCTAGTGAAATTTCTAACCTGTGATCAGGACTGATTCCGGTGAAATGATTTTTTAGTATATCTTCTATTTCTTGCTGAGGAAATAACGAGTTCATGTTGCGAATTACGTGCAGGTTCTCTCGCTCAACAAAGTACTATCGTCTTATTTGTACTAGGCTAGCATCGATAATTGGTATTGAAGTGTGTACCTTTGATATCGATTGATTAGAAATTTAGAACTTCCCATAGTTATCAATTTTTTCAACAATCGTTTGTAATTATCCGCATGATAAAAAATTCCATGAAATTCTTACAGTGTAAATGTAATATATCAGAAATATAGACCTACCTAAAAAGTTATTTGTGTAAATGGGAGAGTTTAAAAGATTTTAATATAGAAATTCGTAAGCTGTTTCGATAATCCTGTACAAAATTCAAAAGAAGAAGCAGAACCGCCTACTACGAAAACCGCGCAGCGTCGTTCTGGAGACATTTGGGTACCGTTAGTACCCCACTTTTCTTTACATTTTTGGTAATTGAAAATGTTGATGTAATTCATTCAACAAACGTAAATTAAAATTTCAATCCCTATCTCGTAATCACATTCCAAATCTAATGATTTATCTAGTGTTTTTACTATTTGTAATTACCCCAACACCATTCAACGGATTTTCACACCTCTGGATGCTAAATAAAATTTAATTCACACAGAAGAATGAACGAGAAAAAATCACCAAAATCTTTTGTTTGGGTTCGCTTATCATTCGTAAAAAAAAGATGCAGATTTGTTCACGGAATAAACTTCCGTGGGTCGACCTCTTTAGGAAACTGAAATTGATTTTGCGCATAAATTTCTATCCAAAATCACCAAAACGATCGACTCCTGTTTTTATACATTGTAAAAAATTTAAATAACTTACATAACTTACATTTATCGATTTTGATAGGAAAATTGGATGGTAGAACGCCTAGTGCAATACAATTAGACCTTTTGTATCGCCTGATTTTAAATGAGGATTGATGATTTGAGTCAGAAACAAACTGGGCTTCACGTTCTCGAAATTACCAATGTTCCGAAAGATAGAAATGTCAATTTTACCCTTATAATAACAAAGTTTTAGCAGCTAGCAAAAGCACCAATTAATCGTCTTTAAATTTTTAACCGGTTGTCGTTTAATCTTTGAATCTTAAGCTTGATACAGAAGCATGAAAACGTAAATCGACGTTAATAGATGTCAGGGACATAATTTATATCAGGATTTTGTGTTCTACAAAGGAAAAGATAAAATAAAATCAAATGATTGTGAACATTGTAATTTTAAGTTTGGCAGATATAAGTTTTTGTGGAATGATTTCCACATGAAAATTATTTACAAGATATACCTACCAATATTCGTTTTTGATCATTTCTTCTCGAGGTGCTCACTTGCGCAAAATATATGATAGCGTTCATCTGCCAATTTGGTCTCGTTGCGAGCTGCTCCATACTTATGCAATGTATAATGCTTGCCGAGAGAGAACGCCGGTCACAGGACACTTTATGTCGGTCTACAATCGTATGTTTTAGATATTAAACCATACGACTTTTAGAGTCTTTAAAAAAGATTAACAGTCTCCATGGCAAATAAGATGTTTATAGATGCTTTACGAGGCTTTTAGTCTTTAAGAGTCTGCGCATTCAAGAGCTTTACGAGTTCGATAAGATGGCCAATAGTGATTTCAAGAGCTTTTGAGAACCTTGACGATTGTTTTAAATCCTTAAAAGCCCTTATTAGTCTTCAAGTGGTCAACGTTTAGCATGTTTTATAAGGATTTAAACCTAGATTTAACCCCATTTAAAAGTATATTATGGGGATTTTTAATAATCTTTAAGAGCGATTAAAAGATCTTATGAGCTTTTGGGATAAAATAAAAATATATTTTCAAGAGCCTTCGTGAGTCTTTTAGGAAAAGCGATATCAAGGCGCCATCAAGTCAATGAAGGATTAGTTACGGGCGATAAGAAATTAAAGCGGATATCCTCCTTCGCGACCTCCCTAGAAGCTTTTGCTATATAGGCAAATTGAATTGTGTTCCAACATCGATACCGAAGTGAGCTCGAGCTCGTGTTATAAATTTACATGTTATTAATTTGAGCATAAGTGAAAAATAATAATTCACTTATCAAACAATTTTACAATACAATACATGACATAACGAAATCCAATAAATAATAAAACGTAATCTACAAACTATACCTAGTCTACAAAAGATTTTAATGGTTGGATGAATGAGCAAGTGGTACGAAATAGCCAATAACAAATGATCGAAGAACCAGTACAACAAAAAATGAAATGTCTCAACTTAGTGGTTAACTTTGGGCTTTTGAAGTAATCTTACACTAGATTTGCTTATGTTACTGTTTGAGTGCTCCCTACGGCAAGATAAGTTTCACAAAAAAAATAAATAAAGCGGTCTCAAAAGCATACAGAGATACATAATGTAATTGAAAAAAAAATGTCTACGACATAATATATAAATCACAACATAAATATAGACATATATAAATTAAAGAATAAACTATTCATACTCAAAATAATCGGAATCCTTGAGCGACTCGCGAATCCAAATCTTAAACTTTTCAAGTATTTCTGGAGACATTTCCTGTTTATAACCGCCAACTATCCCCTGTCTAATAAATCCCGTCGCCTGATACACAGTTTCATGGTTGACGGCTTTGTTTAGTTTCATTTGATCAATATCCAACCACTTCAGCAATTTCGACTGTTCTTCATCGGTCACGGTTTTATTGAGAAACTTGGCCACCCTTTGTATTACCTCCCCTAAATCATTTTTCATCTCTTCGTATCTTACAAACAAAATGTTTTCCTGGTGCCTCAAATTCCAAAAGTACAAAACGGATTCAAAGTGGTTATCTGCACAGAATTTGATTAATGTTTTAAGTGCCTATAAATAGTCCGTGTAAATACTTACAACCGTAAGACATAAACACCTTGCAATAGTCATCAAGGGAGCCATCCTGTTGCTTCAGTACGTTTTTTGTGTAATGGTAGCCAGACAAACAAACATCTCTTGCATTTCTGGATACGTATATGATCTGCAAAATAATTTCTATAAATATTAACCACTTAGCCTACCGTGTCTGAATACCTTCGCCTTTTTGGTACCAGAAAGAAGTTGAGTTGGTAAAAGTCTTGGCATTGCATGCGTCTTTATGAAACGAGGACTCTTTAAATTTTTAACATAATTTAAAGAATCTATAAGACGATTTACAATTTTGATATGAGCCATCTTCTCAAGAGATTTCTCGGTTACATATGCTTGCGTTCTGAAAAGAAACATGTACTACCATCTATAATCATAATTATTTTGGACTGTTTACTCTAAGAATGGGAAACGTTCGCCAATAAATGTCTTAGCACCCTCATAGTCCAAGTCATTACCAACCAACCACACCAATTCCTGCAACCACGTAGTACCTATACGGTTATTAAGATAAAGACTCTAAAAGTAATGATAATCTTACCAGATTTTGCATTCCCAATTAAGAATACGTCATCGTCTCGAACTTCAACATCTCTTACAAAGGCTAGTGATGTTTCAAAAGAAGGATCACGACTGACTTCGGTGGAATGTTCCTTTAGTATATCTTCTATTTCTTGCTGAGGAAATAACGGGTTCATGTTGCGTATTAAGTGCAAGTTCTCTCGATAGACAATGTAGATACTATTGTGTTATTTATACTAAAGTTGGATTACTGCGAAATGGTTTAATGAACGACAGCATTTAATTGTGTACTTTTGGTATCGATTGATTACAAATTTCGAAAGTTTCCATTCGTTATTAATTTTTATATGATTATATACCTATATTTGTAATCGTCAGGATGACATGATAAATACGGGGTACAAGTAAGTCATAAGTGTTCGAAAGATTTTAATCTAGAAATTCGTAAGCTGTTTCTATAATCTTGTACAAAATTCAAAAGGTGATAACTGATAAGAGTAGGTATGGTTGCAAAATTTCAAGAGAATGACTATAGTATTCTTATGATGGTAGTCATGGATAAGTGTTTTACTCTACAGCAAAATCGACGGTAAAGTAGACTGTCCGAATTGCAGTTGATAAGCCAATACGTTTTTGTGCAACCAAATTGCGAATAGAGAGCATGAAGTAACTCCACGATGGGAATGCAAAAAATGCAAACAAGGCGGCCATGAATGAAATATGACCATACCCAAAAGATGAAGTAAGATTAGTCTTTGTGACCACGTTACTTGTTAAGGCCGAGAAACGATAAGGATTTTTCTATCAAAGAGCAGTCTGGCGTGGAAAAATCTTGGATAACATTTTCAATCAAGGTGCTCAACTAAACTCAATTTAAGTTTTTTCCGTACATGACCTTTTCCGTGTACAATACCAATTTTTAATGTGGAGTATTAACTTCACTAAAAGTTTCTGATAAGTAGATTGACTTAGTTTAATGACTATAGTCCGCAGTTTTAAGGGCAAGTTAGTCCTGAAAATACCTGCAAAACCTTTAAGAACCATACACTGATCCGGCAGATGCGTAGATATTAGCATGCAATTTAAACAAAGTACCGCGGATATTATTTTGCACAGTTAATAGTCAATATTATAAGTGTAAGTTTGAAATACTTCGGTAACTTATGACTATAAAGACTTGTTTTCACATATATGTAGATGTTTGTACGAAAATCCTTACGCACATAGCCTAGCCTAGCGTCTAGAATTAACCTAATTACCATTAACTACACTGAGAGAAAGAGAATTGCAAGGTAATTTGTTTTACCCAAAATCGTCTTGAAACCTGCATGCCGACTTTCTGTCAGGAAATTTTAGTTTCCATGACAGAGGCAGAGCAGACTGCGTTTCCTGCCGCTTGTCATTTTTCATTATACCTCTCCGAAAGTACTGTCTTTTCATGTATCCCCAGCGCACCGAAAGTAGGGTTTTCCCGTGCGAGCGCACTGGAAAACTTTTTCCCGTGCGCTACGAATAATCAAGTTTGCCATAGCTATCCCTATCCCATGCGTTGCCATGCATACCGCGGCTTGACTTTGACATATATGTCAACCGATTTTTTACCATTGTGTTAAAAATGGATTTTGGTGAAGTCGAAATTCCCGCTAATATATTAAGAGAAGCTGCAGAAACCAGTTCTCAACTATTACCAGCGAAATGAAAAGAGAGATGCGAAAAGGAATATGAAAAATTTCGTAACTGCTGGTGCGTTGAAGAAATCGTGAAAAGAGTACGTTATGGAGTAGGTTTTCAATGATTAAGAATATTCTTGCGGTAAAAGAAAATGAAAACGCTAGCAAATTGTTCAAAACCATTTTCATTTTCGAAGCCTCAGACCGTCCGCTACATCCCAAAAAAATCAAAAGTTCTGTATAACAAGGGAGCAATTTTTGAATGAAGCTGCAGAAATAAAATGGTTATTACTTACTAAGATTATTTTAGTATGCGGAAATTTGTAGCAAGATGCAGAGGAGACGATACAATTCGATCGACTATTGATGATGTATTAAGATAATGGGGGTTTAAGGGTCATAAGACAAGCAACAGAATTTGTTGTCAAATTGGATTTGGACTTCAATGTAAATAATTATTCTCCGTTATTTTCGGAGAGGTATAATGAAAAATATCGTTCATTACACGTCCAGAAAGGCTTTTCCCGTGTTTGCATGACTTCCCGTGTTCGGCTTCGCCTCACACGGGAAACGTCATGCGCCCACGGGAAAATCTTCCTTTCTGGACTGGTAATGAAATATACTATTACTGGTCGCATCTGTCACTTTACCGGCCGCACCGTCACTTTTACCGGCCGCATTTTTGACATTTCCAAATGTCTATAATGACTCCTGTCATCACTGACAGATTGACATTAATCAAAAGTTATATATAAAAGTTGAAATTTTGTATTAAAAGACGATTTCGGGTAAAATTTAATACAAAACTCGTCCGTAAAATGTCATTACCTGACTCGGAAATTAAATTTCCTCGCTAGTAATGTTTCCTGGCTTATGTAAATAACTATTTTTAATGCATTTTGGAAAGAATTAGCAACTATACATAATGGTATTTTCAGTACGTATTGAAGGATTAATTTATTTTTTACGTTCGTAATTGCATTGTAAGGAAAATACGTTCTAATTGTTGTTAGTCTTCAATCGTCCACGGACGCGTTAACGTATTATTTATCGGTGTATCTCTTTCGCGAATGAATATTGGGACGGACTTCACCCTTACCTATTCATTGTGAAATATCGCCGACTTTTGCATAAACTATCCATAACCTTTCTCCGTCTGCAATTATTAAATTCTGACTACAGAGGCCAATAAACATGTCACAATTACAAAGTACACAAACTACTCATAATAATCTACCTCAATTAAGATGTATTCCGCAAAAAATAGCAAGCCGTGGTCACGAATGTAATGGAAGATTTAAAATTAAATGACTACATAATAGCACAGGAAACATATTGTAGTTCCTAAAAATACCATATTTGTCTCTAGAATAAAAGGTCGAATTTGCGTTTATCTCGCAACATACTCTACTCATATTGTCTTAAACAATAATGTAGAAATACGGCGACTTATTTCTACTGCTAAAAGACTAACAACGATTGTCCATCGATACCTCTCCCCCGCCATCATTATCGAAAATGTTATACAAACCATTTGTTACAAGACCGTATCGCCAATCCACTTTCTCAGGGCAGGCATCCAGGCTGACCCATATCGTCGTATTTTGAGTTTTCATCAACAAGTTTACCTACAGTCTAAATCTACAAAAGACTTACCACCCTCGGTTATAGTAAATTATGAAGATATAAACTATCGAATCGTTTTGAATTTTCATGAGTTCAAATGTTTCCGATGTAATCAACAGGGACATATAGCCAGCCAATGCAAAAACTTCTCCTCAAACAGTCTACTGCAACACCTGGTGCCCGTGACACCGTTATTTGACGATGTAAGTTATTGGTGCTCAACTTCGATGAACTTAGTGACTTCGTGGCCAACGCCTTTAGAAACCCTGACCCACTATCAATTGCTCAAGAATACACAGATAACACAGTAGCCCTCGTCGAAATGGTGCATTATTTATACCCCTCCTTACAGGACAGGAGAAAAAACATTTCACACGCATTCAGAAGAAACTCAAAGTCTGACTGGATCTCACCGACGCGACGTCACAGAGAAACTGGATGATGACTCAGATTCGTTTCCCAACAAAGTTCTTATTAAATTTCTTCATTCTCCAGCGGAGCGTAATTGGATATCATACCCATCTGCACCTCTAATTACTAATATCCAACTTACGGCCCAAAATACGTCAGTTATGTAAAAGGACCTAAATAACAGATCAACGGCATCAGGTGGAGTGGCACTATTTTTTCATAAATCGTCCCTAATAGAAGAAGTTTAGAAGTTTCTCAACCGCGATCCATCTGCAATTTTTGTATCCTCCAAACAAGGACATCTTTTTTTCAACGCACTCTCGGCCATACTGGAACAAATTCCTTCGCCCAAAATAGTACTTGGGGACTTTAATGATCGAATCACGAATTTCGCCAACAGAAGAGGAAAAATCATCGTGAAGCTCATAGACAGCCTGCACTAATGCAGATCAAATCATAAAGTACGGCCACAGGCCGCTCATCGACACTGGAGTTGTGCTTTTGTGATCCGTCACTGGCGCATATTGTAGAGTGGTCTGTTTTATTGGACCTGCACTACAATGACTATTACCCGATCTTCATCACCCATAGCCACGCAATTAAAAAAGAATTCAAACACAGACCAAGATGGAAAACAGGGAAAGCCGACTGGAAAGTGTTCAAATCTCATCACTCAAGCAATGCACGCAGAAAAGTCAGCAAATGATACAACGGTAATAAATACAATCACCGAAGCACCTTCGCCGCGATGAAATGCATATTCGAATGCAGAATACCTAATCAGACACTCCCAGCCGTATCCCAGATCATTCTGAGCAAACCTTTGAAGGCGTCGGTCGGTGCAGCGTTCATCACTACACCAACAACCCGATCGTATCAGCTTTAGAGAAGCAGCAGCGGACTCACGGCTTAACTGTATGTCACCTCTGTAGCCCTTGACCACTTTGATCCTACTTTCAATTCTAACCGGAAAATTGTAATATGTACGGATTCTTTTAACGCGATCCGCTTCCCCCGATAAAACCAGATGTCCACCCATGGACACGACTTGGACTATCCCGATCTGAGGAGGTCACTTTGAATAGCATGCCGCCTGGGCCACACTTGAGCTATCTTCATCACATTCTAAACCAAGATCCTCCATTCTGCCCCACCTGTCAGACACCAGTAACAGTACATCATATTCTCCTGGACTGTCGTGCCTTTATCACCCAAAGATCGAAGAAAGGGCTGGGATCATCACTTGCTGGCGTTCTGGGCAGCACTTTAGACAATGCGAAGAAAGTGAGACAATACCACCATAAAATTTCCCTTATTATAATCATTTTAATTACATTTAACAAATCAATGAGGCCTTTTACCATTACGCACATATCCTCATTGTTTCTTGAACGCTTTTGGAAATCACGACCTTGACTGCATTGCAATTTACAACAACAATAAGTAGTGGGGCTAAAGTGTTAAACTTCTACTCCCGTTCGAAGGTATGTGCGACAATGTTCCGGTGTGAGTGAGGAGACAAGTAAATTTTGAGTTGGGCGGGTGATTTTACTTTTTTTA